AGATGAGATGTTAGGGGTTCGTGTTTTACTACAGCAGGAATACCTATATCACTTAACTAGCAACATGTGCGCGAGGTATGTTTGTCAATTATATACAGGAGTGCGTACAAAACCCAAACTGGCGTTTGAGTGAAAATTAATTTCACAAAAGAATCTCTATCATTTATCAGCGCCTGTGTTTTCCATTCAAGCCGTCTCGCATAAATATCTACAGTTGGACTGCTTTAGAAAAGCCGAGGAGTAACAGGCGTCCGTTATTCCTGCACAGCCATCTTTCGGGGACGTACTAGTGTGTCTCACAGTCCCTGAACCACATAATTTCCCCTACTGCCAAGCCCTCTCTGCAGTGCTAAAGCCCTAAATAAAACAAGTCTAGATTTCCTCAGGTTCAGGCTGGTCTCCTTAGGGCTCCTTTTCAATATAAATGGGCTTGTTTGTTACTATGAAAATTATATATATTCAGAGACTAAGCCTTAGTCTAGGGACGTACATGTAGCTTGCTTTGTCGCTGCCTCCTGTGGCCAAACCCAGTTCACTGTCATTCCACCGGTCTCCGAATGCCATGGCAAATTACAAGGGAGGGAGTTATTTCTTTCTGTGACGCTATGTCATCTTCAAGCATGCTGTCAATGTATATGATCGGAACCTGCTGCTAAAACTTATGTAACTTTATACTTCTACAACTCTCAGCTCCACAGGGGCCCGACATAATCTCTTCTACAGAGACATAACTGTTCGCTGCCATCACACAACATTAAGGATAATGATAAAAAAGAATGAAATGTTTCGAATGTTTTACTACCCGCTTAGCCGAGGAATCCAATTATGCTACAATCTGAGACAATTAGGGAGTATACACCTCGACATGGGTTCCCATCACACGCATGTTCCACTCTAAACATGGAGCAGCAGGCCCAACATGAGACATACTACCACTAATTACCTGTAACTATCAACATACAAGAACAAACTACCTCAAAGCTAACTACAACGGAGGCTAACATATCATATGAGTTCTATCATGGGCATTTTAGAAGTTGAGGTGATGAGGAATAATGATAACTTTATGGATTTACAACTTGTTTATTCAGTATTCGACATAGATGCTGACGTCGTTGTCACTTGTCGCCATTCACAGAATAAACAAGTTGTATATATCCATAAAGTTATCATTCTTCATATAATATGAAGCATAGGCGGATCCAGAGGGGTGTGTGTGTGCAGGGGTGCGACCCCCCACCCCCCTTGTCCTGAAAGTTAATACATGACCCGTGAAAATGAAGTGTGCACTCCCTCTTTTCTCAAGAGTTTGCACCCCCCACCCCCATCCCCCACTTTCTCAAAAAGATGTATCCGCCCTTGTGAAGTAAAGTTTTGAATATTGACTTAAATACACAATCAAGTGTTACCTTTGGTTACAATATGGGCAGATTCTGGGTGCTGGGGAAAACAGCGTGTGTTGATCAAGGCGTGCACCTTTCCGACCCAGGGCAATTCTTGACGCCAGTTAATCTCGACAACAGAAATTATTTCCTACATCCTGATCTCGAGTACGGTAATATCTCGTCAGTGTCGCCGGCTCGACTTACCATGTAATAGTTTGCAATGGGGCAGTTTTCGACTCGGGAGAACTGTTGGAGCGGTCAAGCAGAAAGGATACGACATCATATCAAGCAGAGTACAGTAATAGTCAAGAGATATGCGAAAACTTCATTGTATGGGCTGAGGAATAATTGGATAGCAGAGCAGGGCGAAGGACTGACGAACGTGGTGGTGCAGAGGAACGTATTGGAAAAAGGAGAAGACTGCTGGGCTGGGTGAAAGGGTAGAGGGTACAACATTTTACAACTGTTACAATTATTTGTTGTGTGTACCATAAGTTTAAAAACAATTATTTCCCAAGATATAAAGTAGTTGATTGACAATTTGAGTTCATTAAGTTCGTAAAAGATTCCTGTGATGGATTTACAGTATAGTTACATTTAATATATCTTTTCCGTAAATCAGTAAATGCTGAACATACCAATAAAAGGTGGAATTCATGTTCAATATAATCTAGCTAATCCATAACATTAGTAAAGAATCTACATTCAATATCAATACCAGTTCTACGTCCTACTTCTACCATTAAAATATGATCACCACATCTAAACTCTTCAGCATAATTCTTTCTAAAAGGTAATAGTGATGTGCCATATTACCTACACACAACACCCCGACTATTATTTCATAGTTAAGTCAACAATGATAGGTTAAATGTAATCAGCAGTGCTTTATGTACATGATAGGGGAAAGGAATGTTGGAGGTATGGCTGTATGGTATTTATGAGTTGTTCTGTATATCAATAAAGTATGTGTATGCTGACTGGAGACTATCGGGTTTCATTTCAGTTAACAACCGTTGTTAATTACACATGATCGCAATGTTCATTTGTCACAAGAAATCGATAACATGTCGAGATTGTAAGAATTAATATTTAAAACAAACGGAATAATTAAAAAAAAATTCACAATGCACATTCTGAACTTTAGATAAAGGGCTTGTGATGAGGACAATGGATTCCAATAACGAGATAGCCATTTTTATAGGAAATACAAACGCGCATATGTTATGTACATCTTATTGTACACATTCACCGTTATTAGTCCATTAAGTCCCAACACTGTATTAATGATATGGAAAATAATCGCTCACAAGCAGATAATATCCATTTACTTGAATTCTTCTAACGTTAAATACAGACAATTTTCTGAACCGATAAACGATTCAACTGAATATTCCCAGTGTGTATCACAGATGACTTCAGTGGAAGATCCAACACTTTCACTTGTTGAGACATTGTGCATGAATATTGTATTGGTTCCCTTGTGTCAGTAGCAATATGTCTGCCACAGCATGATGGGTAAACCACTGTGTATCGTTTTAGGGATCATGACATACAAGTTTACCAATTTGAGAATGAGGTCTTCTTGATGACTTGTCTTCTAACACAAATTACGCCTCATTAAACATGGTTATTACATTGGAGAAACAAATTAGTTGTCTTTGTGGCATTTGAAGATGTAACAAAGCAAAACGTGACAAGAAAGTTCGTGTAGAAGTTGATCGTCGATTATATCTTGTCACAAGTAACATGTAGCAACACATATATGGCATGTCAGGCCAGTAGTATACGATAACTCTAGTGAGGTGTAGCTGACACAATCAATATGTGCTATCTTTAAACAAGTGACAGGGCGGTGTCTCGCCGACTCACTGGGGTGAAGCGGTCGGGACCGTCTCTATTGTAGAACTGGCCTCCGTGGCAGGTTCACATCAAGCCATGCACGCAATCAAAGCAGCTCCCTGCACGCGTTGTTCGCTGCTACGAGGAGGGAAGGCGTAAGGCGATATACGTTATATCATTACCTGCTTCTCGAATTAATGACCCAAACAATCTGACCAATTCGGCGTGAAATGTGACAATAGGTCTTGTTTAGAGACATTCAATAAGTTGACAAGCTTACTGTTCGCTTCTTCACACGAATATAACTATTCATTGTCTGAGCACTCGACAGATTCGGGGTGCGTGCGGGATGAGAGATCGTGCGCACCTAGTTTGAGTCTGGTTTCTTGAGGGTTTGAGTTAATGATCGGGAACCTGAGATAGGGTTTACTGTTTGATGTGATCTGCTGATAAATGTGTTGTAAAGAATTCCTTTGTGTGTTGGATACTGTAGTCTATAACTATTGAAACGATTGGGAACTAATGTCTTAGATGTCTTATATACCGTACCGATAGAAGGCGCGCAAGTAATGATTCCATTAGCCCATGACTCTGGTGCTCCAGTGTCGTGTTTTCATCATTTTAACCCTGATGTTTTCTCCCCCAAACATTGCAATATTGACTTCTATTTAACTCCAAACAACTCCTCCCTTTAAATCAGCTGATGTTACTGTCGAAAGTCTGTCACTATTTGACGTTGGCAAGAGCAATGGATTGTACAACGAGTGTAATCGATGCCGTCCCAAGACAGCCGTACAGGAACTACGTGAAATGGGTCATTAGCATTGTGTTGAGCTGACAGATTCTACCCATCGACATATTCTTGACACTTACACTTCATTCTCCATGCATAATTGGTGTCCTACTAATTCAGATTAAAGGTCATGGGAAAATGTCATGTTAATTAAGAAACAATTTATACTATACTGAAGCAATGTATCGTGCTATACATTTCATATTATCACCCAACCATTGTCACTTATGACTTCCAGAGCATAAAATACAATAGGCCACGCATACAGCTAATCTTGTTCTCCTTCCGTAAGCAAATGTCCTCTACACATGACGAGACTTACACAGAGTTTAAATGTCAGTTCAAGTGGTTTGTAATTACGTTATTTTCTTGTTGAAAGAATGTGTATGTAATGGACTAATCACAATAAATATTTATCATGATGGACAAAACCCCACACAGCAAGATACGTGATTGTGTGAAACATTGACACGCCGTGGGGAAAGTGACAAGTCGTGTTGTTAGCGCCCTACACAACCCAGTGTACCAAGTGTGAGCCTCTCGACTGGGGCACCCAGCGGAGTAGCCCCTTGTCTTAATTTCTGGAGATGGGGAGGGGGGCCTTTGTTACCCACGGGTGTCTGATCAGGACTTTTTATCCCCGTAATTCAGGGTCAGGCGGGTCTGGTGGGAATTACAAGGGAAAGGAAAATGTTAGTGGCGGGGGGTGCAGGACAGGCGAGTGACAGCTAGCGACTGTGAATTACACCCTTATTGAAATGTGGGTGACAGCCGGACCTCTCGCTGATGGGTGGTCAGTGTGGAAGTACAAAGTTTTCGCACATTTTTATAAATCATGAGCGCCTTTTATTCTAATTTATTGACAGATTAGGTATACATGGTGCCGTATTTACTCCACAGGAAATTTCTTCGCTTAAAAGGAGACCTTCTCCAAGTCAACAGCCACTTGCCGGTTGGCCTTCACTTGGACGGTGCAGTAATCAGACAGACGCGGTGTTTACCTTTCCCGCTTGCTGTTTTCCTACAAATATTGTGATATCAAACATATCTTGTGCCGGGACTGGCCGAGTCGTTTACTCTCAGTAGCTGGACATAGACGACTACGCTGGTTGTGGCAGGACGCCGGGTTGTATTGCAACCGCCGGACATTTACCCAACTGAAGGCCGCGAACAGTTTGCCCTCCGTCACGGACACTATAGCTCATCAGTAAGTACGACGTTTATTTAAACGTTAGCGAATTGTGTGTAGGAATATCACGCGTGATTTTCATGACACTTTGAAGGATGTGCGTGTCTCATGCAGACACAGTGAAACCACCCATCTGATGATTTGAACAGTTCAATGGTATTTGACAACTAGGCACCAGATAACACATATAGTTATTACTACTCGCACTTTGGTAACTGGCTGTATTAGATGGTTATGTCACCTGTATGTAATGCAGTATCTTTAGAATCCTCTGTGTACAATGTAACAGTAGGACTAGAAAATTGCTGATGTGTATATATCACACTGGGGGATTTGAATGCACTGCTGTGATTAATTACCCTTTCGTCTCAGTCTGCACATATTTCCGTCACTCACAATGCACGATGAAAGTGAATCCCACAATGGATGTCAAATATGGGCGGAAGCCACATACATACTTTTCCAAGTGTACGCATTTATTATTTATACTCGAGTTGGCTGAGGCTCCACAGGGAGGTATGCATTATAATAACATCCGCATAATAATCCTAGATCCAACATAAATGTATTTACTTTGCGGCGATGAAGGAATATTCTTCTCAACGGATGTGTTCATTTCACCTCCACTACAAGGTATGTCCGTGTGTTTTCATTCAGCTTGTCTCAAGTCAGACGGGTTTTATTTAATGTAAGAATATTTCTCCACGACTCAGGTGAAGTTGCACCCTCTGTTCCGGCAGCAACATGCCAACTGTAATATCTCGTGTTTGGAGAAGACATATTACAAAAAGTTTCATCTGTATTCGTTTGTTCAAAGAGTTGCTTTATGTTTTGTTGCTGGAGCTGTCTATTTGAGCTGGTTTTACAACACGGAAGTGTGTCAATCTAAACAGATGGCTCAACTTAATGACATTGTATTTCGAAAACAGAACACGGGCATGGCTTTCCTCTTAATGGTATAATCAGCAATACCTGTGAACTGAAATATTTCCAATAGCTGCTTCCTAGTAGCATGTTCCCATGGTGTAGGAAAGGTGTCATATTTGAGGAATTGATTTAAATAACAGTGCTTAATTCTGAAGTTAAATCCCATGATCCTCGTTGACAATGGAATGACTCTCAGTATTGTCCTCTTGGAAATCTTCTGTCCGAAAATGAATGACCACTCCAGGCCAGGTCCCTGTAGTAAATCATGGCTCGGAGTTATTCATCAGAGGACTTTTGTATCGCATTACCAAGTACTTGGGGATTATGTGGGAGGGTTAGGGATCAACTTCACAGACTACGGAAACCAAATCTGGTGAAATACCTTCCTTTATTATCGTTATGTGTACTTGAGAGATCAACTCTATTGCTTCATTAACGTGAAAAATACTTCGTGGATGTAGAAATTGACATTGGAATTACAACCCTCGGGAATACCGAAGCCTCTTCAGAAGGGTCATACTTAGATTACTGACACAGGTAATAATGTCTCTATCCTCGCGTCTGTCGCTGGGTTACCCAGTCCCTTGTGACTCGTGTTTACCCACTAAGCTGGTTATGTTGGCAATACCCAACATGCTGCATGAACAAAGTCACCGAGAAGTGCGCTATGCGTCATAACCGTTCATCAGAGTAGAAACTAACACAGTCTCTATTTTTCTAGACTGTCTCTTCAACTGTCTTATCCTTGCTATTGCTGACAACACTTCAGTATATTCCACCCACCTATGTACAGTACCGCACTTCGTCCTGGTCGGGGTGATGCGGTGACCCGTACATGGAAAACGTAGCGTGTATTTACCGTGGATTATCCCCATCTTTAATGTGATAGATTGGCTGACAGGTGAGGGATTGGGAGGATGGATCAAAGGGGGAGTTGTCACGTGTCCACATGGAGAACGTACAACAAGCATCTAGGTGTAGCTGGGTATAGCTATGACGTACAGCAGAAGGGAAAGTAAACCTTCAACTAAGAAGTCTGTATACTTCCTATACATTCCTCAGTAAATGACACACTGCTAACTTAACTTGGTCTTTAATGCGTGTATGTATCTATCAGTTAGATATTAAGCGTGGCGGAGAAATGACACCTGCATGTCACACGGGAGCGACAATAGGAGGGACAAGGCTTGACCAATGATTAGTGTAGGGATGCTTTGACTAGTGATTAGTATGTGCAAGGTTTGACCAGTGTGGTCCTGATTAGTCTGACCGACATCAAAGAGTTACCGTGGAAGACGGAGATTACAGCAGCCTAGCTGATTGATATGGGAATACATTTCAGTGCGGTTATTGACAGCTGTGATTGTGCCCTGGTGACAACTAGTAATGACTGCAGTCCGTCCCCGCTGCATGATAACGACAGGTATTCAAGATGAACATATCACATGATAATTTTAAATAATGTGACAATGAGAAGTTTCACGTGGAAGGTCATTCGTTTTAAAGATTCAATCATCAGGTTTTATTTACAGAATACCGACTCAGTTTTATTCAATTTCACAATGCGTCCGTGGATCAAAGATGCTTTCTAAATTATACTAGGGTTGATTTCTAGTTCTTGTCTCCGACATGCGTCCTTTTCGAACTATATCCAAGAGTTAATTTCCAGAAGACAAACTGTTTATCACCCGATCGTGAAATAGAATACGATCACTTATAGATTTCAAGTCACACTTCTCCTGGCGTTGTTTGCAAACTAGCAAGATCAGTATTTGAGTGATAGCAATACAGCACACCTGGCGTCAACCAGTGACCAATGATATCCCTTTAATGTGAGAAACATTTACCCAGTAGTTGGACGCAGTGAAAGACAAAGATAAGCAACCATTGAGGCAGGCACGTAGAAGGGGCTCGTGCCTTATCTAAAGGAGAGGCTCTTGAGATATCGGCCAGACACGACCAGAGTCCTGTCCTTGTGGCAGGGCATCCTGTGGCCACGTATGGTGCACTTTGTATTCAATACAGCCATTTCTCTCAGCCAGAACGTCCTGAGAACATATAGTATACTAAGGTCTTAATATTATGATCGTAAGTGATTTGAAGTGTCAAGTATGCTAAGATTCAGCTACCAAACCTTGCTGTCAGGGAAATATTTGTGGATAGAAATGGTGTTGTATAATATCCCAAAGCACAGGTAACATGAATATCTTTTACAGAAAATGAGATGTTATGTACCTAAATTGAATCAGACAATGTGACTGTAGCAGAGTGCCTTAACGCTGGTCTTGCACAAACAGCAAATTCTAAGCCCTGTAATTTCATTGTTGGTTTCCCATTGGCACTTCATCGACAAAAGTCCACACTGCCATGAGATAAATCATTGACACAATGGACTATATCGGTTACAGTTATGAATATCATATGATAAGAGGTTCTTTCAGCAACGATGTTTCATAGTAACTTTCCACGTAGGTGTTAAACAAAGCCTGTATCAAATAACCATTTACAGTGTGGGAAAGTTCCTCATTGTCAGCCATGTTTCCTTGCAATACTTACACGGCATGTAGACCTCGACCTTCTTGTTGAATAGTAGTTTATGTCACATACAATATCAAACTGAACACAGCAGTGTTACGACGTCCACTAACACATATACTGAGAGAAACAAATAAGAGAACAAGGGGAAATTCAAGCGGTCCTTTATTATTTTCCAGTTATCATCACCAGCTTTGAATAGCACTGTGGGATGACATCTGAGAATAAATAAAGGAACACTGCTATGAAGTGGTGTTCCCTTATTTGTTTCCCTCAGTATATCTTTCCCGTGTCAGACATCATCACTAACACATATATAATTCGGATCAGTGGTGAGTTCATTACAGTGCGTGCAGTCCAGCAGTTTTGTCCATCTACGGTATATGAGTGTGTCTGTCTGTACCACTGTTTATGTACTGGCCTGACAGATGTCTGTTGTGCAATGACTGTTTAGAATGGTGGTTTGAGAGTGCACTGCCACCGCTCCAGGGAGCCGGTAAACAATTTGGCATGTGCTACGTGTAGACCTCACTCAGCATTTGGAGAAACTGTACGGAGAAAAATAAGCTCACACATTGACTTAACCAGTGACTATTTCAGTAGATATATTTTTATTTTGAATACCACTGTTTTATAAACCTTGAGACACTCTGAATAACATATTTCGAAGTGCATGCATTTCACAGAATAAAGTGTGTTTTCAAGTAGGTCTAATCAATATCACTTCAACTGTGAAGTAGGGGGTCGTGCATTGAGTAGGTGTCTCACTGTGATTGTGATATGACAGCCCCAGTGTCACCAGGCTGATGGACGGCTGTCTCACACATATCTAACATTTGTTAATACACGCGTCAGTTCTTGTTCCACATTTGTCCATGCAGCAGTTCACTTATAAGGAACTCGAACTTGTGAATAATAGGTCCATTTAGTTGATACAAATGCTGCCCTGAGACATCCGGGAAATAGCGTCCATTGCAGTAGTGGTAATGGTTATATACACACGTGCCCTGCCGACAGTTTTACATATACATTGGTCCTAAATGAGGGTGTTACAGTGATAACATGGTGTGTATGTGAATGGGTTTGGTAGCAAGCTATATTAAATGTGAGATACAGATATTTTTTTGCAATTCGAAAAGCTCCCTTATAACAATACCAGTTGACACAAATCATTGATGCTGGGCTGATTTGTGGACTCAACAATGATATCCAGAACATGGTATCAAACGTGGACTTTACAAGAGAGTTTGACCAGTTCTTTTCTATTATAGGGCAGAAGAATTAAAGCAGTTGCATTGCTTTTAAAACATTGCTTTTAACGCCTTTTAAAAGTTGTAGTTTTATCATCAGAAAAGTCTTATTTCCGATTATGTAGTTTATGTTATTTCATTGGCGGTCTTTTCTGCGCTAAGCATAAGTCTTCTCCGTGGTCACATGGTCAACAAACGTATTGGCCTAAGAAAACAACCTGCTTTGAACAAAGGGATTAGGGACGCCGACCAAAATGGGGCGTGACCAAGGGAGCCGCGTGGTCAAGAGTCACTGAGTGGTCAGAT